CACTACGATATTTGTGGCAATGGTAATCTGCAAATGATCCTTGCTACCAATGTAAAAGCACAAAACTCCTTGTTTAAGTATAAAATCAAAAACAGAGATCCAGCTACTGTTGTTCAATAAAAGCAAATTGTTATGTTATGGACCCCTGTTATGGAGCGCTGCTTGAAGAACTGTAAGTTAGAATTTAATGCCCTCTACAAAGCGTCTAGATCCATTATACATTCTGCTAAAGGAGGGAGTTTTGCAGGATCTATTAATGGAATTTCTTAATTAATAAAAATAATAATCCTTGCATTTTATATGGTGCCTTATCATACCACAATAAACACCGTAGTTGCTAAAAATAACTAAAGCCTTTCCTTTGGAATAAATGGTAACAGCATTACCAGATAATGAGATCAAGATGTTATAATAAAGAAACTGACTCTATTGGCATTCTTGGATTCTGATGTGTTGTGTTGGCAATAGATAACCTTGCAAATTCTCAATTTTGCAACAGAATGCTGTTAATACACACCAATATTTTGGGTAAATGAATATAGTTCCTTTGAAAACTACTTTACTATATAAGTGAGATTGTATTAAAAATAGATTTGTTGTGCATATCAAATATTCATTGCTTGTGTCTGGAGTTATCCCCCATAATTAAAGTAAACCATTTACATTTGAATCAATATTTTAAAATAGGTAATTTTCACAATTTCTTAACAAAATCCTTAGTAAGTAATCCCATTAGAATTCCCGTTGATCCATGGAAATCATGCTCAGGATGCAGATTGCTCATTTTAGCAGGTCAGTGTTTTTAGATGTCAGAAGTCCCTATTTGTGCAAAGTAATCCCATTGGAATTCCTGCTGACCCATGGCATTGACTTCATGTTCATCGCAACATAGTAGAGTTCCTGGGGGGTCAGGGTGACATATCTTCGGTTCAGATTCCTTAAGAAGGAATCACAATAAGGAATACAGTAAATTGGATCCCCATTGGCTATATTGAATCATAGAATATTACAGCACAGAAATCGGCCATTCAGCCCACTTGCAAGTCTACACTCGAAACTGATTTTAAAGAATTTTTTTTGCAAAGTAAGTTAATACAATTCATGAAATGAATGGCAGCTTGAACAACAGTAAGTTATCACCTGTATCATAACAGCAGTTGTTGGCGCTCTTCAATTACAAGACTAAAATATACAGACGACCGTTCTAAAAATCAACTACAAATTTCTTTTCAATAAATGGGCAGTGGGTAGATTCCAGTTTTCATTCCTTGTATATCAGTGAAATCACAAAGACATACAAAGAATGATACTGGCCATTAATTTCCACACAGAGTTACTTTCAACAAATAAAATGGATTAATGTTCACAGTACATTTTAAGAAAAAAAAGATAGCCTGGAGTGATACCAAGGCCATAATCAAATTAACAAATTCCAAATTAAGATTAACAAATTTGTAACAAGTTATACATTACTTGAATTCACTCCCATAATATTGGCACCATCTGCACCTCTGGGTTAAGATTGGTGCTTGGAGGTACCGACAGCGATTTGTTATTTTCTATGTAAAGATGTCAAGGTTCTTGCATGTAGTTGTACTGGTACATCACACTCCTTGACTGTAGCTGTACGTTACAGAGAGAGATAAAAAGCAATTGAGACTTTTTCTGCAGCCAATATTTTTTTATTTATGAGAATTGTTTAAAATCAAACATAAGGGATTATACTCATGTAAAACACCATATTTAAAGTCCCCTTTAGCCATGTATTTGTTAGAATATCATTTTTAAAATAAACATCATTGCTGGCAAGGTTTACAACCCTGTAAACTTATGAAATGGAAGAGTAATGAACTGACTTTAGAGCCAGTGGCTGCAGTCAATTTACATCAGTATATCTAATTGATCAGGATTCTTAGTACATTTACATAACAACATACACAGTATGAACTACACATGATACATATGCTGAGACCATAGACAATAAACTTTTGTTCCAAAAAAATCTGGAAATAGTTGCATTTTAATAGTATACCTGCCATACAGCAAACGTTACACTCATAAACTAGGACAAAATCATTTTTGCTAAGCAATTCGAACTCCATAATTTCAGATACAATAGGTCAATTCAGCATAAGGGGATAGATAAAAAGCAGAACTCATAGAACTAACTGCATGTGTGAATTTGAAATTTTGTTTTGTACAGTAATAAAGATGTGCATGATTTGGAAACAGAGAGCAGATTGGCGACTTCTGGCTGCAACAAGTCAGTGATCCATGTACATTAAAATATCCCTTTTTAATCCCGTTAATAAAATGCTCTGCACGGTCACACCGAATCAAATGGTAGATGAAGATCAATCATTTCACACATATCGGTGTGTAATTGTTCCTAATAAATTATCTAAATCCCCAATTGTATTACCAAAAGTAGTGTGGCACCACACCAAGTAACAGCACTGTTGCAAGCGAACATTTATATTTCTCACTCACATCACTATTTTTTAAATTGATTGTATATCATGTGTACTTGTAGACCCAGGCTCCTGCCATGATCAGAATATGGTGCGTGCTTTAAACACACCTTAAATTATTTGTGGCAGGGAGAGGAGGGGTATGCTTTGACAGAGTAATTCACCAACTATACTTACACTGCAGCTCTTGCACATCAATTGACATCTGAAATTAATCCCTTTTCAATTCCAATCCCCAGCTCGGGTGCAAACCCTTAACTGTCCAGTGCTTTGAATACCTCCTTCCACCGTGAAAGGCACTACATGAATATAATTTTGTTGTTGTTAAAATTATCACAAACCACAGTTACATTGAACTTTCAGACGTGACTTAACATGGAAAATGAACAGAATTAAATTGAACAGATTAGCATAACCATATAAATGCAGTACAACAGTGGCTGTCTTCAGAGAAGCTCACAAGTAAAAGTACTCTTTTACTTTTCCTATAATATTGACTACTACAAAGTGTACTAAAGTTTTAATTTCCTTTAGCATGAACTGTGAAATACAAGAAATTGTTGGTATCATGGTGAAACAACGTTTAAAAATTACACTAAGCATTTTTGTTTTCAAATGCCTGAAGGTTGGAATTCAATTCAACAATTTACATTGTAAGAAAAATCAGTTAAATATTCAGAAGACAGGACATGGATATTGATGAAAAGGCAAACAAGTATACTATGTATATAATTATACTAGCTATGAATTATTAAATAGATTTTACCAGTAATATTTAACATTGTATTAATTTGAAGAAAAACTGTGACTTGGTAATGCTATTTACAACAGTATATTTCAATGCACATAAAAACAATGTGCACATAACCTGGCATTTTTGTCAGACTGTAAATATGCACTCAACTAAAACTACAGATGATCTTATCCATCAAGATCGATCCAAGGACTGAGAGGAATTAGTCCTTTTTGATTATACATCTTTTTTAACCACTTATAACAATAGCAGAAATAAGACATGTGATTCTCCTTGTAATGCGTTCCGTGCCACCACTTTGTACTGCATACCTGTTTTTTTTAATTACAGATAATTACACCTCAGACATACATGACCAGTTAAAACAAATACATGTCCACAGCAAAACGTCTTCGAAGTAATCTCTCCGGACCACTGATGCCACGAAAGACAAATTGCCTAATTACGAAATGAGTAATAATGCGTCAATGCAGCGACACAATAAGCTTAGTCGATTTTATATATTAATATTGTGTGTGACTGAAGATGCCTTGAATGTCGTCTTATCCTCAGCCTTCAGATCTGCTCACTGAATCACCCTCCATTTCGCCTGTAGGGCTGTGTCAGTGCGTTAGCACCACAGCTCTGAAGTTGCAATCCATATTTGTGCAACCCTTGAACTACGATGTCAACACTGACAGTCATTTATAGTGCAGGGTTTATTATTATTTACCCGTGAAGAGATAGTCGTCTCAAATTGGCATCAGCAATTACAAGTCTCCAATGAGTGGCGTTGGTGGGGAAGAGAAACGACCTGGTGTGAAAATTATCTCACGCTGTGCAAATTAAGCAAAAAAAAGTTTGCTATTTTTTAAACAATTTTCTCCGCGAGCATAATAATACAAAGACTAACTGCAGTATTTACAACGTGATTGGTAAGCTGTTGCTGAAATGGTTACAGGTCTGATCTCGAACGTACAATAATATCGTCAGTTTTACATTCATCACTCCCAACACATCCTCAGTCACTTCAGTCTTAAGTCAATGGATTAATGGCACTATAGTGTTCAACAGCAGCCACGTCTGCACTCTATGTGTGTATTTTTTTTTGTACTTTACCCTAAAACACAGAAATCCAATGAAGCATATTTATTAAACTGCCCTCTCCCCCCCCCCCACCACCCTACCCCACCCCCACCCCACAGCTTGGGATGCTCTCTGACCTGCTGTGATTTCCATCATTTTTGGATTTTAAATGAAAATTGCGAGGCATTGTGTGACAATTGTCATGGGGTGGGGGGGGGGGGGGGGGGGGGCGTATGTATTACTGGTGATAACCATCAAATCACAAAGAGCAATTTTCAGTCCAGGGGTTAAATAAATAAACACCGGCGTTAAAATCATGAAATATATATCTGTTGATATCTGGGCTGAGCGTTGTAAAATTGGTAAAATTATAGGAGTGACATTGTCTCGATTGAGCTCCTCAACCTCACTTGGACAGATAAGGTCAGGGACACCACTGTAACCATGGGAGCAAAGGTTTGCTAAAGTGATCACTTACTTACTGTGAGTAATAGGAGTTTAATCACTCTGACACCGACAGAGAGAGAGAGAGAGAGGGAGACAGATCAGGAAAGAGAGAGAAAGAAGGGAGCAAATGGACAGCCCGACATTAGATGTGCTCTTTAACAACAACGACAGTCCAGATGCTGTAACTAACACTCGTAAAAGGAGAGGTTGCACATCGACACCCTTTGCTTTACTGTTCTTCATCAAAACAGATGGCAACTGTTCCCCAGAAATACTTTCAAGGGGTATTAGAGCAAGATCTCTGTGCCCTTATTTCTAACGTGGTTGTTCTGGAGGTGCATGTGCCATTCCTGTAAACGGGGTTAGACGCGAGGGTGTTCTTCTGAAACTCCAGTGGATTGCAGACTCTGCTCTTCAGGGCAGTGGCGTAGTAGTCCACCGGCTCCTCTGTGCCATTCTCCAGCCACCGAAAGCACAAAATCCTCTGAAAAGACCTCTTAAAGTTGTCCGAGAGGAAGCCGTACAGGATGGGGTTGGCGCAGCTGTTGGCGTAGCTCAGGATGACGGACAGGTGTGTGACTGTGGTGTCCAAACGCCAGAGGAAGATATTCAGAAGCTGCACCACGTAGAAAGGCATCCAGCAGATGACAAACACGGTCACCACCATCAGCACCATGCGAGTGATCTTCTTCTCGGACTTTCTGCGCTGCTGCCACCCCGCCTTCAGGCCGACCACTCGCATCTTCACGATCATCAGGATGTAGCAGAGGCAGATGGCAAAGATGGGAATGAGAAAACCGAGCAGGAACGTGTAGATGACAAAAGCCACTGACCAGGAGGGCTCGGGCCAGATGAAATTGCACGCCACGCCACCGTCCTTGTTCGGTGCGGTCCCCGCGAATATGATGATGGGCAAAATAACGACCAAGGACAGGATCCACACGCAGATGTTGATGATCTTGGCTATGGTGGGTCTCCTGTACCTCGCCGCCTTGATGGGATGGACCACCGCGATGTACCTGTCCACGCTCAGGACGGTGAGGCAGAACACGCTGGTGAACTGGTTAATGCCGTCCACACTGAGCACCGTGCGGCACATCAAGGAGCCAAAGGGCCAGCGTTGTAAAGCAGTCGAGGCTGACAGGAAAGGCACACTGAGCATAAACAGCTCGTCCGCTATGGCCAAGTTCAGGATATAAATGTTGGTGGCCGTTTTCATCTTGGCGTATCTCAGGATGACAAATATGACCATTGAGTTCCCAATCAATCCTACGAGGCACACGATAGCGTAGATGAACTGGATGACCACCACGCTCGCGTCCATTTCTGCTGTGTAAGTACTAAACGAGTAGTTCGTGGGGAAGTCCGTCATGTAATCCATCTGACCGCTGGATCCGTTCCAAACACCCATCGTCGTGTCCTGGTCAGATGGTGGCTGTGGGCTCGGTGCGGTCATCCTTGCAGGACCTTGTGAGCAGTGAGATGCTGGTGCTTGGCTCGGGCTGGAGAAGACTTGCTGTGTGTGCCCAGCATTGCCCTCCTAGCGAGTCAGCATTGTGATCAGCTGTGAGAGAGCCTGAGACAGACAGACAGACAGACAGACTGACTGACTGGGCGTCAGTGCGGCTGCTCTCCTGCTACTTAAATACAAGATCTGCTCAATGAATACTTGTCATCTACTTACCTACAACCCTGCGTCACGCACTCCAAAACATAGACTTGAATCACAAATTTAGAAGCTATTCACATACTGGTTATATATATATATATATATACATATGAGCCTTTTGTCAAAAATCCTAACGGGCTTCTTAGGCACACGATTTTTTATCACAAAAGGGGGTTGAATTCACTGGAGAAAATTGAAGGTCACCTCTTAAGTGGCATCTTCTAGAAATCAGCTGTCAAAAAAAAATAACATTTCTTAAAAACACGGTGTTGAATGGGATGTGCGAAGACGTGTCCATTTCAGTCAAGATATTTCAATGGTACAAAAAAAAAAGAAACGCCAACTTAAAATGGGTTAGGAAATTTAAAATACAAGGAAAATATTACATTTCACATCTTCTCCTGTTATGCATCAGTCGTTCCATTTCCCCATCCCACTTCACTCACAATGCATGTTGTATACTGCTATGTTTATACTCTGATATATATTTTAAAATCATTAATCGCCAGCAGAAACTTATAACATCCCCCATCAGTTTGATTCACTCGCTCTGAATTGTTTTGTGTATCATTATATGAAGCCATCGCCAATAGTTAGCTACGAACCAATTGTTGAACTTCTCAAAGTAGAGTGAAGATGTGGCGAGGTCCATCCAAACGGGTGCAAAATACTTGGAGTGAATGCAACAGAGGTTCTCAGCTCCGTGTGGACGCCTCTGCTTTTGCTGCATCGGTGCCCAACGTCCACTCCCCCCCCCCACCCCCTCCCCGCCCCCCACCACCCCCAGGCAGAATGGGGTAAAGAGCTGCCAAAGCTCCTGTCTGTAGTGCAACAGTTCAATCATCCTATTGATGGATAGACTCCACACTGCGAGAAGATTGCAGTTCTTGTTGGAGTGGAAGGTGGAAAGGGATAATGAGGAGTGGCCAATGCTTGAAGCTTTCCCTTTGAGTTCCTGTATACCCCTGGTTGGCTTATCTGGGGAGTAAAGAATATAATAATCCTTGCATTTGATATAGCGTTTTTCATGTCTTCGGGACGTCTCAAAGCGCTTCATAGAATATACTGTAAAGTGAATTGACTGTATATTTGTGGGCGAAACGCGGCAGCCAATTGCATGCAGCAGTGTCCCACAAACAGTCGTGACTAAATTATTATTGTGTTTTTTCTTGAGGGATTATTATCAAGTGTGGAGTAAGCAAACTTGCCCAAGGTTTCGCCATGCCGGCAATCGAACCTAAGTCTCTCACTTGCAAGTCGAGTGCTCTAACCGCTGAGCTACAGGAATCCAATAATGCCTTAATACCCATCAACATAGAAATCATTTGGAGAGAATTCGCAGCAACCTATAAACACTGTGAAATTAGATTTTGCTTTATCACCCACTGCAATACATAAACAGTGTTGAAAGTGTTTGCATGCATTTTTCCAATGGATAGAGTAAATGTCTAGGCTGAGTTTTCCAACATAGACCAAAGCTCTAATAAAGGCATTCTTTGTAGTCCTTTACTCAACTTGTGCTCCAAATGTATGGGTCTTTTGAGATTTATTGTTATTGGCATGGTATGCATAATATAAGTACTTTAAGGATATTCATACATTTCTATACAAATAGTTTGGGTTTGTTGTCTCATTGGCAAACATATGCATGTAAGAGAGCAATCACCCTTAGTTTTCTAGGTAAAAGGCATATCTTACACTCTGCACTACATGTAGGACCCAGAGATTTAGCACGCAGGTTTGTATTGTATCAAAAAGCAAGCCGAGTGCCCATTTTTTAAAGAATAATTCAAAGCAGAGATAATACCCTCAGTCAAGATTCACATATTAATTTTGGTTTCTCCATGCCAAACCATATTCTCACTGCTCCAGGGATGCGCTGAGTTTGCTGATCTGATCTGTCCTGATAATCTTAGGACAAAGATTTACAAAGAATGTACAACACGGAAACAGGCCAGTCTTTATACTCCACACAAGTCTTCATCCATTCATTACTCCCTCTCATATCTTTCTATTCCCCTCTCCCTCGTGTGAATATCTAGCTTCCTCTTGAATGCATCTGTACTATATGATTCAACCACCTTCCCACTACCTATCTCACTACCTTCTACGTGAAGAAGTTCCTCTTAGATTTTCTTTTTGATCCTCTCGTCGCTATTTTATACTTGTTTCCCTTGGTTACAGACTTCCCAACCAGTGGAAACAGTCTCTTCATACTAACCTTATCAAACTCTTTTGTAATTTTAAACACTTCTATAAATCCCCCCCCCCCTTTCTCCAGTTAATAGACAATTTACGGGATGGTAGAATTAACCTGGATTAGGGAGAAAAATTAGACAGGTTTCCAGATCCTCATCACCAGTGAGAGAACTTCTGGAGATAGGAGTGTATGGGCATTGGGTGAGGAAACAATCTCTTTCTCCCCCCATTGAAAGTTAGGTGAAATTTACTGTCAAAGCGATAGGCATTTGGCAAAGTACAGCACCCCAAAAGAAGGAGTATTTTAAGAGATTAGAGAGAGAAAAAGAGAGAAAAAAACACCTTTGGTTAAGGATGAGGATTGGCATTAATAAAAATACAAGCCTTGTTTCAGGGCTAAATTGGGACAGCAGAACCAAATATCATAGTTGATAAAGGTGAGAAGAACCCAAGTCTTGTTTTAGGATTGATAGAAAGAAAAGTATCCAGTAGACATTTTGCCACAATCATTGCCAAAACTGAAGCCTGTGACAGACTCCTGAACTCAATGTTATTTCGTTCTCACCCTGAAAATCGCTTCTGCGCTTCCTTAATAAAAGATGGGACAACAGTTTAAAAAATGTACCGTTTTATGGCATCATATGGATTTACGATTAAACTGTATCTTAAACACCAGTGTCAAATTGTGGCAGGAATTTAGATGTGAAGACAGAAGAGTGAGCACTCGATTTGTTAGTGATGTTTAGAACTATTTGTCTTTATAGAGTGAAAGTGTAGTTTGCGTAGTTGCTGAATTTCTTTTTTAGTACAAGATAGTCTGTTTAACCAGAGTGGCACACACACAGGATAATAATAGCTCCTAATCTTAACATATATTCGTGTTGCCATGGGCATATATAAGCAAAAATACTCTATATTTTCAATCTCATTAATATTGTTCCCGCGAATAATTCGTTCTTAGATCACATTGCACTGGCAAGTCACCGGCAATAGGTGTTTTGGCTCTTAACACTAGATTTTCCAAGTTTTTATCTATCTGCTTTTGAACATTTTATAGTGTTAAAATTCCAGCGGAGACTTTCATTTTTGTTTTGATCGCTTTGCATTTTAATATATTTAATTTATCACTTTTTTTTGCCGTGCTGTGTGGGGATTATTTATTTCTTCACATATTGCAATAAAGAGAATGCGTCTTTGAAAAGTAAATCATCCTCACTGTGTTGCAGTTCCACCGTTTGTCTGGGAGAGTCGCCAATGTAACTAGAGGCCAGACAGACCCTGAGCTCATCATCTCTTTGCTGTAAAGGTGACAGAAAGCCTCTTGTCATACTAGGTTGGTAGCTGTGCATCTATTTCACGAGATTTTCGCCTCCTAAATTCATTGACCATCAATGGTAGCAAATAAGTGCAAATCCACACCCGAATCGCTCTCTAATTTTGGTTGGGTCTTTACTTGCCAAAGGGGTAGTATTTTAGGTGAAAATGATTGGCTCTTTGTGTACAACTACTTCACCAAGTGACTCCTTCCTCCAAGTTAAAGAATGCGAATTTTATTTGATTGGTTTTGTGTGTATGTTATGAAGTGGTGCTATGGTTGAGAAGTCACCTCACTTGAGCAGGTCAGTATGTGTTGCATTTATAATAAATATCATAATAATGAACCTTATATTTGTTATACACCTTTTTTCGCACCTTTCATATCCAGATGACATCTTATTGTAAAGAGTAGTGAATTTGTATTTTGTTGGTAAAAGGGACAGCCAATTTCTATACAGCAACATTTCACAAACAACCAAGAAGTGAATGATCAATTTCTTCTGGGGGGATTGTTGGGCAGAATACAGAAAGACATTTCTTCTTCTTTTTGAATAGTGCCATGGGATCCTTAACATCAACTTGAACAGGCAGACAGGACCTTGGGTTTAACATTTCATACAAAGGAAACACCTCCAACAATGCAGTGCTCCCCCAGCACTGCATTGGAGTGTCAGCCTAGACTATATGAATTCAAAGTTTAGACGTGTGACTCAGAAGCAAGAGCTGGCATTGACCAAACTTGTCTTATATTTGAACCCAAGAAGTAACTTTGAGAAACCTTTCAATAGGCATTAAAGAATTGGGTAGAAACTAAGATAGAGTGGATCATATGTGTCTATGGAAGGGAAAGGTTTGATGGGCCAACTTGCCTCTTCTTATTCTTTTGTACTTGTCTTTTGTACTTTTTGAACAGAATCAGAAAGTTTTAGAATTTTCAAAACCTAAACCTTGGGTATCTTTTTTCTTTGTACAGTATTTTGTAATTGTGCCTTTGTTTTCCTGGTACTCTTGTTTTCTTTTATTATTCTTTCACTCTTCACATTTTGACGTGTATTTGGATGTCAACTTACCACATTTGAAGGTAATAATAAATCTTGCATTTGATGTTGTGCCTTATCACACCATGAAAACATCTCAAAGGGTTTCACAGGATTTATTGTAAAGTGCATTAATTGTATTTTGTAGGAGAACGCAACAGCCAATTTGTACACAGTGA